TTAATAAGTCTCAATCGGTTTTATTTCTAATATATGGATTTGCTGATGAAAATCTAAAATCATTCTCCCAGTCATTCCGTTTTTTCATATAGGTTTATCATGATCATCTTTACCTACTATGTCATATTTACTTTTTTTACTAAGTTATCTAAAGATGCTGAGAGAAAAGCCATGCTATCTTTAAACTGTAATACTGGTATGTTGAAATACCTAAATGAATAATCCAAATTACATTTTTCGTGAGCACAACCTCTATACATACCAGTAAAATGACAGTGGTCTCTGACTTTTTATCTTCTAGTTTAAAATTCTTTTTACATATTGAACATACAGTAGCTTTTCTAAATTCTGCTTCTTGTTCATCTGTAATATCTATTGGTTTATTAACATTCATTTTTTCAATAAAATCTTTTTTAATTTCTGTTAATTTATTTACAAAGTGGTCTAAACAATCCTCTCCACGGTATAAATAAGGTTGGCTTGTATTATCAATAGAATTTACAACATTCAACATATAACCGCATGGTTTATGTTCCTGATAAGTGCCCTTGATGCCATTATTTGAATTTACAGTTATACACCCAAAATCTCCATAAACAACAAATGGACATTTTAATTTTGTATTGTATTTTTCAAATTCAATATAACTACCTTCTTTTGGTAATTTAAACTGTTGTCCGTGTGTTGCCATACAACAAGTTTCATAACGTTTTGTTAATAAATCCTTTCTAGTAAAAGCATGAGTACAATAGTGACAGTAATGTTTTGGTTGGTCATTTTTGTTTGTTTGCCAGTTCATTAGACGACTTAGATTTCTAATAACAACATAGTGATGGTTATTGTCTGTTTCAATTTTCAAAAGGTTTATTTGATGTTTAGCATCTCTTGTTTTAGTCCTGTAATCAATTATATTTTTTTGTCATTCAACGTATCATCCATTTCATAAACATTGTTTGAAACTAACTTACTATTACTTTCTTCAAACCTTTCAATATCTTTATTACCAGATGGAAATTGAACGCCTTCCCAGATCAAAATGTCATCGTTTAATTTGTTGTAATGAAACATTTCTTGAGAATTCGGTTTATTATGTAAATCATACACCACACTTTGAACACTATATTTACAACATTTGTTATCTTTGTTTTTGATATTAATACATGCCTTTTTTGGTTTAATCCATTCTGGTAAATCTATATAACTACCCGCTCTTGTTGGGTCATATTTGTCATAATGAATGGTTATTGATAATATTTTTTAATTTGTAAATTAGACGCTGAACCTTCTAGTTTCTCTATGTTCAACAAAATTTCTTTGATTGATTTTTCAATTGCTTCATCCAAATCGGTTTCATTATAAACGTTAGACCTTGTAGCTGGTAAATTATAAACTATCTCTGTATGTCTTATTACTCCTTTATGATCATCAAAATAATGATAAAATAAACCTTCTGCCCTTATATTCAATTTCATATCTCTATTAGTTTTCAAGAAGTTCAACAGTCTATCTTTTTGGTGGTGTATCATTGGCAACGCCTTTTCACCTTGAAAATGTTTATTTACTAGTTTTATAGAATTAGCATAGCTTTTGAATGCTGATTGTTGGTCTGTTATTCTGAAATTGTTTTTTATAGCGTATTTTGTCATGGCATTTTTCATTGTTTGTTTAAGGTATGTTCTTGTAGCATGACTATTATATTCATTGGTGATTGCTACTGATCTTAGTTTCTTGTTCAAAACATTCGAGATAGGTTTTTCTTTATCGTATCTAACTTTTCTACCATCTATAATTATTGATTATAACTCCTTGTTTCCTCTTTTTGGAATTTCCGCTTTATCATTATTCAACAGATAACCCATAACATGTTTCATAATACTATACTATATAAATTTAATGTGTATTTCTTTAAGTGACTTGTTTAAAAAGTATACTTAAAGATGTAATGCCTTAATCTAATAAGAGGAAAATGAGTGATACAGAAAGTGAATATAGTGAAAATAGTGAAAATAGTGAAAATAGTGAATATAGTGAATATAGTGAATATAGTGATACAGTCGGTGTCGATGCTAAGAACTATAATGAAACAAAAGTTTATCAGTTATAACTGTATAGACTGTGAGTTGCATAAATTACCAATTGAACAGTGTTTTATAGATGGTGTTAGTAATAATATTTGTCAATGTATGATATGCAATAATTGCAAGAAATTATAAACAAAACTAATGATATGAATAACGAAGATATTGACAATAGAAATGCTAAAACTCTTGATGATGATTTAGACATATTTGTGTTTATTGAAATGAATAAGTTCTTGACTGAAGAAGAATTCGATAATTTATTAGATGATGGAAGTGATAATGATTTTATTTATAAGTATTATAGCATGGTAAAAAGATTATACAATATGTCTTTGAGCATTAAACGTTTAAATATGAAGCATTGAATGATAGTGACTTTGATTTTGTAAATGAGTTTTTAAATTATAAGTATAAAGCTCACGAACTTAGATATACAGTATCACATGCAGTTCATGTAATGGGGATGTTTAGAAAAGAAATAGGACACAATACTTATAATGGAAAAACAGATGATAAAATGATGAAACAAATTATAAAGGAATTTCAGAATTATTTAGAAATAGAGTTGAACTCATAATGCAATTATAACATGTAAAGCCTTATATGTTGTAATTATACTATACTTCTGGTTTGTTTCTTAAAGATCTTAATGCCTTAAAAATGACTTAAAGAAATAGTGCCTTAATGTACTAAGAGGAAAATGAACGGTGATGAAATCAATAGTTATATCAATAAAAAATGCAATGATTGTTGTCACTTCAAAAAAGAAAATATGGAATTGTACAAATTGAATTTACCTAATGAAATAGTGAATAATATTATTAACTATTCAATGGATGAAGAAGTCGTATGTAAAAATTGTAAAAATTGGAGATAATCAAACTTTAATCAAATGTGTGTTGTGAATAAAAAGAATACATAATAGAAATGTAGAAGATGAGATTTTAACATTTCTAACTGTAAATAAAATACCACCTTACGATTATGTTAAACAGTTCCTTAACATCAGAAAAAACAAATATGAAATGATTGATGACATATTATGGATGTTGGGTTATCGTCAAAAGAAAGGAGAAGATGCTAAAGAAAACATCATTTTTTTTATTGAAAGTAAAAAGTTTAATGTTCAAAATACAGTGACATATATTAGTATTATTTGTAAAATGATGTATGAAAGAAGTAAGAAGAATCAATTAAATTATTATCCTTAACTGAAATGCTAATCATAATATAATAATAGTAACATGTAAAATCTTATATGTTATAATTATACTATACTTATGGCATGTAAAGATTGAAATATTTTATTTTTCCTTAATTTGTTTGTCTCTTTCTTAGTCATGGAAACGCCTTCAAAGAAATACGGTAGTTCTATGATAAGGATGGAAGCAGTGAAAAAGTGTTCAAAGTGTAAAAATGATAAGTCTAAGGAAAGTTTCAGTGGTGATAATATGCGATGTGACAAGTGTTTAAAAGCTCAAAGAGACTATCAAAATAGACACAGGGAGAATGAACGAGGAACAAAGAATTAGAGATGAAACCGATGAGGAGTATAGAAAAAGGACACTGGAAAGGAATTATAAGAGACACACATATATTGTTAGTTGTGATGTTTGCAATTGTTCAATAAGTCAAGGGCATTTTGGAAGACATCTTAAAACAACAAAGCATCAACATAATTTAGGAAAGATACAAGCTGAGGAACAATGATTGGTAAATTAGATAAGGTTAATCGATGATAATGATGTATTAACCTTATGTAATATTGAGGGGTTTTATTGTAAATGAATAAGGTAATGACTTATAATGTGTCTATACTTGTTCAAATAATTTTCAGGCCAGAAATGCCGCTTTATGTATTTTTTTGGGGGGTGGTGGGGGGGTGGTGGGGGGGTGGTGGGGGTGGTGGGGGTGGTGGGGGTGGTGGGGGTGGGGGTGGTGGGGGTGGCGGGGGTGGTGGGGGTGGTGGGGGTGGTGGGGGTGGTGGGGGTGGTGGGGGTGGTGGGGGTGGTGGGGGTTGGTTGTGGGGGTTGGTTGTGGGGGTTGGTTGTGGGGGTTGGTTGTGGGGGTTGGTTGTGGGGGTTGGTTGTGGGGGTTGGTTGTGGGGGTTGGTTGTGTGGGGTTGTGGTTGTGGGGGTTGGTTGGGGGTTGGTTGTGGGGTTGGTTGTGGGGGTTGGTTGGGGGTTGGTTGTGGGGGTTGGTTGGTTGTGGGGGTTGGTTGTGGGGGTTGGTTGTGGGGGTTGGTTGTGGGGGTTGGTTGTGGGGGTTGGTTGTGGGGGTGGGTTGTGGGGGTGGGTTGTGGGGGTGGGTTGTGGGGGTTGTGGGGGTTGTGGGGGTTGTGGGGGTTGTGGGGGTTGTGGGGGTTGTGGGGGTTGTGGGGGTTGTGGGGGTTGTGGGGGTTGTGGGGTTGTGGGGCGGGCTGGGTCTGTGTTGTTGGAGTCGGCTAGTCGGCTACTTTTGGGTTGGGGGTTTGAAGGAAGACCAAAAGGAAGACCCAGCATTTTGGGGGTCTCCGAAAAAAGACACGAACCTTTTGATGGAACATCGCGAACCCTTTGAGAGAAAAGGAAGAACGATGGACCAAGAACGCACCCATCCCACCCAAAAAAGAAGTGGTGTGCTTTGCGGCCCTTTTGTTTTCTTGAAGGGCGCGTAGTAAACAGGAGTCTTGCTAGACAACGTTCATTTTGGCAAGTATCTCTCACTGTGTTCCTTGAGCATCTTGCCTTCGCCGGATCGGTCGAGTGCAAAACGATCAAAGACCAGAAGCATTTGGCGAGGCCGACTCTACAGCTCCTTGAAGCATGCTGTGGGTGAAAACCATTGGTACCATTTTGGGGTAGGAAACATTCACCGCCCATGTTAGAGCCTATTTTAGTGGCTGGATTGGTTGATGTTCGCTGGCGCGCGATGGGACAGGAAGATGCAGCTCTGCGCGGCGCAGCTCATGAACGCGGACGTGCTGATGCTGGATGAGCCCACCGGCCACCTGGATGTGGACAACATCAAGTGGCCGCCCGGCGGTTTCGGGTTTTGGAGTGCGGAGCGCAGAGTGCGGAGTGCGGAGTTTTCGGTGCTGGGGTGGGGGGACGGACCTTCGCCGCACGGAGACAGGCTCCTTGGTGTTGGGCCGGGCTGGGGTCGTAGGCGGACCAAAATCGCCGCACGAGGCGTGCGGCGATGTATGTAGCTCAGGGGCACGTTTGGCTGGTGAAGAAGACTTGACTGGGCTGAAGCCCAGATCTGAAAGCAGGGTGCCCTCCAAAAAGGGCAGAAGTTGGATCTCCATAATTCCATAATTTTGGGTGGCAGTTCAAAGGGAGGCCCAAAGACTAACACCACCATTTTGGGGGTCCAACGTCGACGCTCAGTCGAATTCTCCTTAGCGAGGCTTGAGGACTGGCTGGAGTCCTTCGATGGCAGCATCATCTGCACCTCCCACTTCAGCCCCTTCCTGGACAAGATGTGCACCCACATCATCGACTTCCAGGACAGGGGGCAGAGGTGTGCTTTTTAGAGGCTCGCCTGGGTAAGAATCGATGGGTTCCACTGGTTTTGAGGGGTTTTGTTCCATTTACCAGGGCCATCTATTTGTCCAAAAGGCCACCTATGGACATGGGGGTTGACTCCATAAGCTGCTGCAGACATGTGGATGACCATGGGATGGAAAGCCAAATTGCAGAAAGAGGTGATCTTTCAACCACATGGGCAAAGTTGCCCGTGGGCCATTTTTGGGTCCTTCTTTGGGGGATTTTTTGATCAACCCCACCACCATGGCAGTGAGCTTCCATGGGGTGCGCTTGCTTGTCCAGAGCTGACCCCTTGACCTGTGAGTTTTCCCATTTTTAGTTTGCCCATTTTTGGTAAAGGCGTCAAAAGGTTGACCTTTGGGCAACTGAGTCCTCCTGGTCAAAGGTAACTGAGTGTGGGTCCTTTAGAAAAGGGATGAACTTTCAACCACATGGGCAAAGTTACCCGGGGGCCATTTTGGGGGGCCCTTCCACCATGGCAGGGGGCGCAATCGATGGAAATGCCAGGACCGAAAGCTGAAGACCTTCAAGGGCGAGAAGGGCAAGTGCCTCACCCAGTTCGTGGAGAAGTACCCCGAGAAGAAGGCCTACTTCGAGATCAGCCGCTATGCTTGAAGAAAAGCCGGAGTGCTTTTACCTGCCATCTCACTTCATAGAACGACGCAACCGGAGTGCTCTTGCCTGCAGGCATCTCACTTCATGATGAACTTTGGATGAGAGAAAGCAGGGTTATGGGATCACGGGGTTTCTCCCCACTTCTGTGATACAAGGGAATCCCCCTTTTTATCAATATGTTTTTTTGTTGGGAAGCCCTTTCTGTTGTATCCATTCCCCACAGCCCTGAGAGAAAGCTTTTTTGCAGCGGCGCTCGCGTTGAAAACGCGGCACAGGAAGAGTCTTGTAGCCTGTCGCGTTTGTCTCTCGCGCAAGAAATGCAGATTTGTTTGCCGAGGTAACGACATCATGAAGTTCACTTTCCCGGAGCCGGGTGCGCTGGAGGGCGTCAAGAGCCGCAGCAAGGTCATCTTGCGCATGAACAACGTGAGCTTCACCTACCCCACGAAGGTGCCTCTCTCAACACAATGATAGTTTCAATAAGCAGCCGCCTCACAAGTCGTTGGCGGACAGACATGACCACCCTTCTAAATCATGTCCACCATTGAGCGTCAATCAAGACTTCGCAGACTTCGGGTGGAATACTTCCAGGCGATTCCATGGAAGCTCCCGAACGGACCCCTTTCGAAGACTTGGCTCCGTTTACAGAGGCCAAGTGGAGCTTCCGGCTGATAGTCTGAAGGTGCTCTTGGGAGGGCGAGGGTCGGAGACGGCTGCTCAAGAATAGGTACCCAAAATGGCGCTTTGGTAAATGGAACCAAAGACTAAGACCTGCGTAGCTCTGACTCTTAAGTCTTGAGCCAAACCCAGATCGAAGGACAAGCCCACCATCATGGACGTCAGCCTCACCGTGAGTCAGGTGAGCCGTGTCGCCGTCATCGGTGCCAACGGCGCGGGCAAGTCCACAGCCATCAAGGCGAGCAAGCCCAAAGTTGTGCGAGTTTATGCGTGTGGTTCCAAGGATTTTTTGGAGTTGGTTGCCCATTTCTTGGAGTTGGTTCCTTTTTCTTGGGAGCTGGTCGCCCACTTTTTGTGTCTTTTTGTGATGGAAACCGGAAGCAAACCCGTTGAACAGTCCCCCATTTTGGTGCTCCGATCAATCCTTAAGGGAGTCGTGTTGCTCGTTTTTGGGGCTCCGGAGTCGGCGAGTCGTGAGGTGTTGGTGGGCGAGCAGCTGCCCACCGAGGGCTCCATTTGGAAGGCCCAGGGACTGCGCCTGGCCTATGTGGCGCAGCACGCCTTCCATCACTTGGAGAAGCACATGCAGGCGGAAGCCTTCCATCACTGGGGTCTTTGTCTTTCTATTTGGCTCAAAAAAAGGAGAAAGGTACCAAAATGGCTTGCCCTGGGTGGAAACATGGACCAAAACCCTGTTTAATTTTGAGCCACACCCATTTGGCTCCCGAAATTTCGGTGTTTGGCTGAAGCCGAAGTCTTTTCTGCTTGGCTTAGCTCCAGGGTTTGGCACTGGGAGGTTTTGGAATTCGATTTGGCTCTCGACATGCTGATGTTTTTCTTGTGCAAGTAGCTGGGGGTTGATGAAAAGGTCCGATGAACCTGGGATGATGAGCATGGTTCAAAACCGTTTTTGGATCCCATTTTGGGGTTTTCGGTGAATTCACCGCCCATTTTAGGCTTTGTCAGCGATTTGGGTTTTGAAAAGCCCATGGCCACAGCTTCAATGGCAGGAGACCCCCACAGCGTACATCATGTGGCGCTTCGCGGGCAACGACGACCGGGAGAGCTTGGAGTTCAAGACGGAGGAGCTCTCCGTGGACGAGGCAGGGGCCTTCGTTTTTTTTTTCCTTCTCGGAGAGCTCGAGATTCACCCTGCCCCTCATTGGTTGTTTGGATGGGCGACCCTCTTTTTTACCCTCGGCTTGAGGTCAATATACTCAGCTATCCCCTCATTGGTGGTTTGGATCGGCGTTGTTTTTTCTTCTTCGAGGCTTGAGGTCAAGTACTCCCCGAGTTGGTGGTTTGGCGGTTCGATGGTGGTGAATTTAGGTGGTTTCCCATTACCCCTCTACGAAAGCCAGGGGTTCAAATCCAAATGCACGCCACCAATCCAAACCAATTCGTGTGAAGCTGGAAAGACATGACTTGTAGGAGTGAACCTATTGCTGGACAGCCGGCATTGATGACGAAACATTTTTCGTTCACTTCTTGAGCCGATGCACCTTACAGGTCAGCGCAAGGTGGCCGCAGTCGCCTCAACTTGTGGCCATGTTCCTTTTCTTGGGGGCAGGGACGGTCATCCAACTCAGGATTTCCCCAAACTTTGCATCGGCCCAATCGGCCAAGGAGTTCGTGGCACGTAAGCGGCTCGTGTTTTTAGGGGGACCCCCCCAAACAAGAAAGGTGGTTTTGGTCTCCCTTTCAAGTCGAACAAAGGGTTCAAAAGAGGGCTCTCTTCAAAAAGCGGAGAAAAAAGCTATCAATTTGGATTTGTCAATTTGGATTGGGCGCCTTGAAAGTGGCATTATGCGGCATAGGCGTCCTTTTTAGGTTAGTTTGGTTAAAAATAGAAGGCGCTGGTTTGGCTGGGTTTTATTCCATTTAAACCAGGGCCATCTATTTCTCCAAAAGGACACCTGTGGAAAGTGGCTGGTCAGGAATCCCCAGCTTCATATTAGTGGACCACTTTGATGAGGCATGACTTGGTGCCGGGTGCAGGAGAAAGCCCGTGCGACGAAGTGGTGCATCGACACCGTCTCCGGCAACGTGCGTCGCTGCACCGACCCCAAGGAGGATGCCAAGAAGGAGAGCGAGTGATGTGTTTTCCCCTCCGAGACGGCTTTGTGATTGTTCATGAAATTCTACGGGTGGATCTCTTTTTCCCCAGTCTTTTGGTGTTTTGGTTTCCCTTTAAAGCCACAGAAGGATACCCTCACAAGAGACACAGCCATCGTGTTTCTTCCGCTTCGAGCCGCGCGCATGTCATCTGTCTCAGGCGAAGCAGGATGAGGCCGGCGCAGTGGTCCCTGATGCCGTGGTGAACCGCCGCCAGAAGAAGAAGGAGAAGACCTTCGAGTACGAGGCGCGGGCATCCCAGTGCAGCCAGCAGTGGTCGCTGTTGTTCTGTGGTGTAGTTCAAGGTGCCCAGTCAAAACCACAAAAACATTTCAGGATGTCCAGCTTCTGCAGGGCGAAGTAACTCAAAACCTGAACGGTGCACCTGAGGAACGGAACCCTGGGATTCGTGCCTTTTGCGGGTACAGTCACATGTGTATGGTTCGATCAAATTGGCACTCTTGGCTGCCTGCCTGGCGGGATCTCAGGGAAAGCACACTGTACTGGCTGAGGTGAAGTGGCAGTTCAAGAGCATGGACCAGAACGCCTGGGTGGAGAAGGAATTCTTGTCTTGCAATCGCCTGCTCAAAAAACGTAGGGCATGTTGGGAATGAACCTGGGGACAACCTTCAAGGAAACCATAGGGGACGGTTTGTAGGGGTCATTCCATTTCTTATGGCACCGGCAAGTTCTTTTTTCGGAGCTTGGCACTGAAGCATGGCTTCCCTGGGTGCACCACATTTCCTAGGTGAGATCGCCTTTAGTCAGAGCCCACCACATTTCCACCTAGGGTTTCATCAGCATGGCAAGGACATCATGATCAAGATGGGCTACCTCAAGCTGGTGCAGCGTGAGGACGAGCGCCAGGCGGCCATGGCAGGGCTGATGACGAAGCAGCTGACCCAGCCGGGCGTGGAGAAGCACCTGGCGGACTTCGGGGTGGACCCTGAGAGCGCCTCCCACACCCAGATCAACCAGCTCAGCGGCGGCATGAAGGCCGAAGGACAAATCTTCTTTGTAGGGGTTGAGTCCTTCTCCATTCTTTTCAAGCATCGTTCTTTTCAAGAACCGGATCTGTTTCTGCTGGGTTTTTGGTGATGGTTTCCTGAAAAGAAGGATCCCTGGAAAGAATGGGGAAGGTTCCAGTGGAATTCTTTGTAGGCTATTTCAACAAAAAGAGAGACACACCGGGGCTTCTGCCAGGTGAAGGTTGTGCTGGCCGCAGCGATGTGGCAAAACCCTCACGCGCCTTGGAGAAAAAGGGCAGCGTAAAGAGGCACTCGATGCTTTTGAAGCTCAGCGCTTGGAGTGTGAGCCCAGAGCCACGTGCTCAAAACCCGGGTAGGTGAAGGTTAGTAAGGGACCGTCTAAACCAACCACAAATAGGTGCGGATCTCCGCCTTCGTTCTTAAAGCATGGTTCTGGGGCTTGGACCATTTTGATCGCGATGGGTTTTGATGGATGCAGCCGATGGGTTTTGCGACTCGGACTCAGGTCTTGATCCTGGACGAGCCGACCAACTACCTGGACCGCGAGGGTCTTGGGGCTTTGATCCTGGCCATCAAGGACTACAAGGGCGGCGTGCTGATCATCTCCCACAACAAGGCGAGAGGGTTTTCAGGCAGCTCAGACGGAGGAATATAGTTAGTAATATACTTGCTATCTTGGAAGACCGGGGTACACCTGTAGGGGTCCCCATATCAATTTATGATCAGCTTTCTGTTTGATTCGTGAGGCTCGAGACCTGTGACTAAGCTTCAGGTTTCTGGTGTGATCTTCGGAGAGCAGCGCAGGTTTGGCAAATCCTCATGTGCTCTCGAATGAAACTTGGCGAGGGGTCCGGTGTTGACTCATTTTCGCCCACAATCACCATCGCTTTTCCAATTGGTTTCCCATCAACACCATCCACCCCACTCCCCCCCCACAAATGGAGAAAGAGCACCAGAAATCGGATCCCCACCCGAACCCAACGAAGCCCCCGACTTTTCCCCACGGGCCCCCGAAAACTCCGCCGGAGACATCCGCCAGTCCCGCCGAAGCTCCGCCGAATTGCTTCCGCCGAGAGCCGATTTCTCCATCCGCCGTGTGTTGGGGGCGAGGAGTTCTGCGACAACGTGGCCACGGAGAAGTGGATCATGCAGGGCGGGCGGCTCCGCATCGAGGGCGAGTCCGTGGACACCTCCAAGGACGACGGCATGGGCTCCGCGGGCCCCGACGAGGCGCCGCCTCCACCGAACCCGAGCCACGAAGCAAATGCGACGCCACCCGGGGGGGGGGGGGTTTGGTGCGTCGTCTTTGTTTTCTCTTTTTTTGCGGAGGCTCAGGAAAAAAAACAAGAGCCCCTTTTTTTTGGTTGTTGTTGGGTTTTCAATCGGAACACCCGGAGGAAGGCCGGTTTCTGTGCTTAGAAGGGAGCTTTGCGCTTGGAAGTGCTGGTTTACAGGCCTTCCGCATTTGTCTTTTTCTTTGGCCCGTGTTTTTTAGGGCACTCTTTGGTTTGCGTTTCGGGGACCTCCCGGCAGCCGAAGCCTGTCAAGCCATGTGAAGCCGAAGCCGGGAGGTCTTCGATGGCGCGGGCAACAAGATCGAGGTGAAGAAGAGCGCCGCTCGGCGTCGCGCGTCGCGTCAACTCAGGCGCTGGCTGGGAGCTTTGTTGGGGGCGGTTTTTGTGGGTCAGGAGGGCATGCCATGATATGGAAATGCATAAAGCCTTGTAAAACAATAGGGTTACCAAAAGAAGCGACAACCAAATGTCCTTTGGCTATGCAAGAGGTTGCGCAAGTTGCTCATATGTTGCTGGTGAAGGAAGGACGCGATTCGAAGTGTGTGAGACAAATCGATGGTTTGATATGAAATTTCTTGACTCGTGGGTGATGTCTCATGAAATTCTTGAGGTGACCATGACGGAAAAGGACAAGAAGAAGGCCATTAAGGACATTGAGAAGAAGATCAAGGATGGTAAGAAGAAGCAGACCTTGTCAGATGAGGAGATTTGCTCGAGAGCTTTGCCGTGTCATGGCCTTGATTTGTTTCTCGCTCAGTTCAGCTCCGGGGTTGTGGGAAGTGCCAGGAGGTTTGGGAGATGGAGGACAAGCTGAATGAGCTGAAGGAGAGCCTCAAGGGCAAGGAGTGAAGCGCGACTTCTCTCACGAAGGCCAAGGTGCCCAAGCCGTTTGCAAGACAGCGGGGGATCTGCGATCTGCGGATCCTTCGATCTGCGCTTCGCTCGATGAAATCTTTTCCATGCGAGCGGCGCAACTCATGTGGTAAGTTGTTCCGATCCTCGCTGTGGGGGCAGACGGCAGCCTGTCGAGGCTCGCGATAAGTCGGGAAAGGGCATGTGGATGCCCGGATCACTGCGCGCGGGCGACAGGGGGCGTTACGGGAAAAGCGCAAACGGCAGGGGGAGGGAGTGTGGAGTGTAAGAATAGATCTCCATTCTCGTAACCCTCAGGTCACTGTTTTTTTCCTTGCAGGTCGCAAGGGCATGCGCTTTGACCCGAATTTGGGGGGACTTGTGAATTCTTGATTGGAGCGCTCATGGCGGTTTTTTGGGTGCGAGGGTGAACCAACAAAAAATAGCAAACAATCTTAGCGATTCTTGATGCCTGGTGGGGCCAGCTACTAGCTGACTGACGGGCACGTTGACCTCAGGCCTTGCGCTCCGCCGCCGCCTGGTGCCCGGCAGAGGTGCCGGCGGGTGGCTACCCCGCCAGGACAGATTGGCAGCGGTGAGGTGATGCCAAGCTAGATAGAAATGGATTATGTCCTTTTTTGAGGGGTGGTTTACAAGGGAAGCCAAAAGAACCACCCTTTTTTTGGGGGTCCCGAAACAGAGATCGTAGAACGCATGGCGAGACGGCGCGGGCAGCCTTCCCTGGCAGGAATGAGGTGCCGGGCGTATTCCTGCCACATCCGCCCAGGTGGGTTGGCTTGAGCCATTTTGGTGGCTGCGGTTGCATCATTTCAGGTCCACGGGGTTTTGTTTTTTTTGGCCCAAGAATAGATGGGTTTCGGTTCCTGGTTTACCATGTGGTTTATATACTCATCTACCAGGGAACCCCCCAAAAGCACACCCATGTTCAGGTCGAGGTCCAGCCTCGACTGGCGCGTCACAGACTTGGCTCGGGCCTCGATCCGAAGTCTTGGCGCAGTCCGCAGTCCGAGCCGCCAGGAATCTGTGGGCTCCGGCCCGGACTCGGGCTCCGACAGCGAGAACGGGGAGCCCGAGGCCTTCGGCGACGAGGCGCAAACGTGCGGGCGCCTGCTCGTTTTTGTTTTTTTTTTCCCCCCCCCCCCTTTTCGGCGAGGGACAGATCGGGATTCGGTTTTTCTGCGCAGGAAGTGGCAAAGTCCCAGGCGCGTTGCAGCGTTGGATCATTTTATCTTCTCTGAGTCTGCACTTCGGCAGGCGCGGAAGCGGAAAGGCAAGGAGTTTTTTGAGCACCTTTTGCACCTGGGCAGCACGTTTTGTGTCAAGTCGTTCGAGAAAGAGCAGCGATATTTTGCTCAGAGACGATGTTGGATATGTCTCACAAGCTTTGGGATTGTCACCGAATCGGTGCACTAGTTCACTCATTTTACAATCAGGTTTCCTGGTGAGGGGCCAATTGGCCAATCGGCATTGGCAGTTGCATTCGACTTCTTCAGAAAGGATAGCAGTGGGATTTCTCCAAAGTTTCATTCTCCGGTGTTTTTGTGCTCCCTATGTTCCCTATGTTCCCCGTGACCAGGTCGCATGGATTTGAACGCCTCAGTCACTTCCGCGGGTCTCCCGGCTGAGGCCCCTGCCGGCGCTGGGCAATCTGGCGGCGCGGCAGCGCTTTGCGCAGCTCCCGCTGCACTCGGGGACGCTGCGGGGCCGGGTGGAGGCAAGAGGAGGTCCAAGGGCGGCGCGTTTGAACCCGGGCATGTCTAAGGGTGGAAGTCATAGGTGTCCTTTTGGTTGGTTTGCTCAAGTAAAATGGCGATTCCTGGTTTAGATGGGGTTTGTGCCATAGTCCATCTATTTGTCCAAAAGGCCACCTATGGTAGCACATACCCCTTGTTCATACCGGTTCCTTGGCCTCCGTGGATTCCAACCCACTTTATAAGGTATTCTATACCCCTTTTGGGGAGAGGGGTATGAACATCAGGCCTTTTGGGTTCATTTGTCCAAGGGGTATGTAAAAGGGGTATGTACAAGCAGCCCTGGATCATGGGCACCGTGGGTCTGTCCCTTTTTGGAGGGTCCCCCCTGTTTTTGTGTTGTTTTAAAGGGGAAATCGAAAGGAAAGCCGGAATTCTGAGCGGTCCCCTCAAAACAGACAAGCCCACATGGTGGCCCTGCAGAGCATGCAGGTGTTGCGCGCGGGTGGCCTCAAGAGACCGCGCTATGGTCTCTATGTGTGCCATCCCGGGTCGGAGGAGGCAGGGAGCCTTGAAGACAAACATTGCTGTCGGAGGCTTGTTCTTGTGGTCTGGTCTGGTCTGGTCTGGTCTGGTCTGGTCTGGTCTGGTCTGGTCTGGTCTGGTCTGGTCGTTCATGTGGGTGGTGCATTGGCTTTGCTGCGTGCGCGCCGGTTCAAAGCAACTGCGGCAGATCCTTCTGATCGCAGCCGAGCGGCAGACGCAGCGAACATTGGGGCCGTACTATGTGCTTTCCTCCAATGCTGCCCAGCCTGCAGTTGGCATTGCAAGAATCACAGAGTCTCCCAATTTTCAAAAACCAAACCACTTCAAAACACCCCTTGCCAAGGCGCAAACAAACATAAAGCCGCAAACCCGGAGGAAAAAAACAAAAAAAGAGACAACACAACACAAAAAAAAACTGAGGACCTGGATTTCGACCGGGCCTCGCCGTGTTTCCTGGGCCGCCTCTCCGGCAACGTCATGTGCACCCAGTATTTGCTGCACGGGCAAAGGGCCACCGGGCCGCTGCGGGAGGAGCTGGCGGCGCTGCGGTTCCGGAAGCCCAGCGACGCCCCGCGCAGCCTGCGCCGCGGCACTGGGCACTGGGCACTGGGTCTGGCGGCTTTGGGGCAGTGAACCCAAGTGGCCCTACAGAAAGGAGCCCAAAGACCTGGCAAAACTGGGTGCTTGGTGGAACCGTGTCCCCCGGAAAATTTTGGGCGTTGGTTTGGGGGGGCGATTAGTTTAAGGAGATTTTCCCAAACACACATCCGGACCCCGTTGTTTTGGTGCAGACTCCGGGGCGGTAATTTCCCTCCCAGCCACCATTTCTAAGGCGCGGCGTTTTTCTTTTTCTCCGGCTCCGGGTTTTCGCTTCAGTGCTAGCAGACAAGTCCTAGACCTTCAGCGCCATGGGGACACCACCTTTCGGGGCTTTGCATCGGCACTCCGCCGGCTTTGGCCTCGAGGCACGTGGTGCTGCCTGGGGCGGCAGCCAGCTTCTCCTCGCGCAGCGGGCAGGAGGGGCAGCTGCTGGCGGCGGCGGAAGGCACCATGCCCAGACACCAGCGACTGGGACGGAGGCTTTTTTTTGTTCCTTGTGTGGTTGGTGTGTGGTTGGTGTGTGGTTGGTGTGTGGTTGGTGTGTGGTTG